TAAATACTTGATTACCTGAAAATTTCATCACTTTGCTTTGATAAATGCAGCAGCAAGCAAGAGTTATGCAAGATTGTAGAAATTTACAAAGTGAACAGACATGTTTAATTCTTGCTTGGTGTTGATGTTGTCATATTGTAAGCATGCCAGAGCGAGATACACCAAGTACCAAAACTGTTTAAACGGTTTAAAGGGTTAGAGGGTTAAAGAGAAGGGTTGGTGGATTGTGCCAACCTCTAATATGAACAGAGATCATATTAGATGACTACAAACTAGCTGAGAGAACGATAAGGATAGATCTTATAAAAATTATTTGAAATCACATTCTCGTGCCACTTAACAATACACTGCTTGGGCCCCAAGCTTCAATAGCTTAACTGCACTGAGCTGAGATAATCAAGACTGGGTATTCTCTGGATCTAGAACATTGTGAAATGTGATATTCTTATGGTGAAGTCTGGTTATAAATCCAAAGAAGACAGCTTAATCAATATTGCTGACACATGTTAAAATGTTGAAGAACTTGTCAGTTTGGATTGAGCCCCCTAGAAGTGTCCCTAAACTCTGCTAGAGCATTCATACCCCTGCTGTACATTTGAACACCCTGGATGACCTATGCTATGTCCAGGCCTCACACGCTGACAAGGCAGCTACAATGTTCCAACTAGAAGATGCTTTCAAGCAACTCATGTTGATAGCCATGTTTCATACAACAATATAGCTGCAGCTATCATCAGTCATCTCATCTGAACTGCCACATACTGAACATTGCACCTGCTCTGGTGACCAAAACTCTGCAGACGATGATGAACCTGAAGGCTTGAGTAACAGTGGCAGTGGTGGCAGTGACTAAATGTTTCTTACTGTATTGGAGAAAAATAATTGATTTGTTAATGAGTTACTGACAATATTGAAGCAACTGCATATAAGTGCTTCACATTGACACTTCAAAGTAAGTCAATATGATCAGCAATTATAGTACATAACATAGGCGAAAATTATCTTATATATGACAATAACGCGATAGATGGAGTTCCTGGTCGAAGCCTAAATTTTGACATTTAAATTTCTCATACATTCCTTAGTGAAGACTATATATTGTCATTTTCCTGTATTGGTGGACATCTTGGAGGCCATTTTGTCCGCCATGATATTGGATAAATGAAATTTATCAAGCTCATATATGTAAGATACTTAAATGATTCATGTGTTCAAATAAACCAATTTGGTTTACAAGAATGTTAGTGGAGTCATTGTAATTTTTTAAATAGGCTATTATATATTTGTGGGTTTTTTAACAGGATGGGGGACGGGATCACATTTATTAAATTTTCATACATTATATTATACCGATATTACCGTATTTGACGTAATAAGCGCCCAGGGCGCTCTCAAAATTAGAAATAGGGGGCACTTATTAGAATATAATTTGGGTGAAAGAGTTGAAAGATCGTAAATTTTGTGGTTTATGCTGACAGCCTGAAATGATACAAAAGAAAATCTGTGCGTATTATACACGACAGATATATTTTTCCTGAATTTAATTGCCCGTAATTAAGGTTGCATATAACACACGAGTGCGTATTATACACGAATAAATAAGACTTGTGTAAATTGATCAATCGGAAGGAAGGGTGCTAATTGGGATTGTTCACAAGCCAATAGCAAATATCACTGTGGGCGCTTATTAGAACGGGGCGCTTATTACGTCGAATACGGTAATAGTGGAATTTTTCATAAGCTCCTGAAGCATTCAGGCAGATTTTGAGATATCACATGACATGATTGTCACTATGGAGGTTACATTATCTTTAGTTTTGTAATACTTTGAAAATGAAACTTGATGGATTTTTTCCTGTTTTTGACACATTTTGTCATGCTGAGTTTCTTTTCTGACGCACATTTTCCTTAGATCGGAAAAGTGAAGGTTGTGAGAGAATTGCGCTCACGAGGCACTGGATCTACCTCTGGCTATAAAATTATGCAGAGATGGAGAATATTAAATTTCCTATTTGACATGTTTGATGGGGTAAATTTAATTGCAAATATTAAACCAGTTTTAAAAAAAGACACTTCTAAGTGTTGTCCGAGAATATATTCTGCATTGAAAAAACAGTAAATTTCTCCGCTTTTTATTGTACACAGATGAAAGTACTGTGCCACGAATTATTTTATTTAGAAGCTTTACAGAAACTGTGAGTGAACAAAATACTGCCTCATATCTGAATGGCATAACGATATATCAAATGGAGTTATATGTGTATGTATAACGACATACATTCAATGCCAAAAATAGCATGCCGTAAGCATGGTAAGAGACGAAAACTAAATTTTCTCTATGACGTCAAATGGCGACAGAGAGATTACACACGTACAAAGAAAAGGGGACATAAATCCACTATGCTTAGCACTAGTTTGTTGTAACTCAGGTCACTTAGCTGTGTGTAAGGACAACAGATTTCTGTGGTGTTTTGTTCACGAGGAGCCAAACTATTCCAACACAAATATCGAAATTGAAACTGTATACATTTAGTTATAAACAAAACCTATAAGAAATGATGAAATCGTACTTCATAAAAAAAGAAGTAATAGAGAAATGGATGGCCCTAACCCTATTACTTAGTCCTTAGATTCCACTATTCTCCTGATTGTGTAAGTGTAATTTGTCTAATGTTGCACCATTATTAATGGAGCACTAGCCTTATCATAAAATGTAAAGAAATACCAAAAAAATAACACCATTCTTTTTGACGTCATGGCTGGTTTTATGTCTTTGATAACGTCGGAGAAAGATGACACAAGTATTTTGATTAATATATATCTCCCCTTATTTTCATTTATGGTATGGAAAATCTCGATGTGTAAAACGAATTTTTTTCAACACAACGTATAATGACTGCTTTCACCAAGAAAATAATGTCTTGAATATATAAACAATTAGATAGTTTATCATGTATCTTAATTGGACAAGACACACACCTGTGTTTGCATCAATTTACGTAATGAAATACCCAAAAGAATATTTCAAAACAACCAAAATTATATTCAATATTGGAAATATATTTGTTCATTATTATGTTATCATATCTCTTCATCTCGTCTCAGAATTACACAATAAAAGATGCGAAGAAAGCTCTATTGGTATAGAATTATCAGGATAACCGTTTAAGGTTGAACCAACGGGGTACATGGCATGGGTTTTATTTTTATACTTTTTACAATTCCTGGAGAAATGAAGTAAACAATTTAATATCCTGTGATCACAATACTGAAAATAGAATGAACCCATTGATTATATATTCTTATATATTCTTCCTACGATTCTCTTCCCTTGTATATTCTGAAAATATTGAGCCAATATCTTGAACGAATAGATGAATGGATAGTTCAAAATAGGAGAAACTGCTACACTTTGTAAAATCTGAATTTTGCTTTGTTTACATTTCAAACAAGTGCAGTTTTCTAGCACAGCGTTCGTTGTCACACCTAACTTATTTTGCTTGATTTCATCTTGGCACTTTGTATTGGTGACAAAGACCATGAAGACCATTATTCATTTGATTCTAAAATCTATGAGGAATTCAATGATGAATGTATCGCAGCTAAGTTTGAAATATACGTGATGTTACAGGCGTCTCATAATCGGTGTACGTGAAACGTGATTTTGTAAACACTATCTAATATGGTGGAAAGTTCACTTCGGCATTCGTGTTTGCGTACTTTCCAAAACATTCGAAACGATTCTAGGGTTACCTGAGACGTTTTGGAATTATCATTGGTGTTTTCATAAAAGACAGATACCCGTGATCACTAATATGCTATTTTTTAAATTCATTTCTCAGAGTAAATATCCGAAATTTAGATATCAAAACATTCAGTAAATAACGCTTTGAGTGGTGATAATGTGTAAAAAATGGCGACATTTACGATGTACCTAATTTCCAGGGGTCATTTTCAGTACTTTTGCTTGGCCTAAAATGCCAGTGCATGATATCACAGAACAGGGAATTTCCCACCTTATTCAAAACTGTGAAGTGTATCTGTGTGGGTGATGTATTTTGAATTTTATTCGACTGCAAAGTGAGGGTTGTAGAGGAGGGACATATATGTCCCTCTGGCATCCAGAGGGTTAAACCATTTTGCTACTTGTTTATTTGTTCTATTTTAGGTTTCCTAAGTCAGCACACTGATTTTGTTTATAATATGAGCATTGCAATATGCAAACTGACTTGTTTAGCGCCATTTATTTGATTTACTTAATTTTATCATACAAATGTGCATTTTACCACCAAAAAACATGTCAGCTACCAAGAGATATCACAACCATTATTTTCTATTGCATAAATGACATCTTGTGAAGAAAAATGTGGTTGTGCTTTGTTCTACTGTGAAAGTGTTCACTCCTTAAATAAACCTCTTATTAAGCGTTGGCCGCTACTCTACTAGTGGCTAACTTTACATGCTTCCCTGCTAGGCTTTTAACAAGGGCGAAAACTTCCGACTCAATGAAGTTCACTGGTTATATTCCACTCATGCATGGAGTCGGCTGACCTACATCCGGTTGATATATTTATTAAGCTATGCCGACGTATATCTACAGTCCTATTACTGCAAAGTATTTGGTTACAAGGGTAAATTGATTACCATTCTCCTCTGCTTGTATTATGGAACTTTTTATCAGACCAAAAGGTGTGGTAATTGAAATGGATAATCTGGACGGATCACTCTAGATTTTGGAAGTTTGAGGCTCTAGCCTACATAGATCTTCTAGACTTGCAGGATACAATTGCCAATTAAAATAATTTATTATGAGCTATTGCAGCTATCAAAAACATGTAAAAATTGGTCAAAACAGAAGCTGACATCATGAACAAGGGAAACAAGGATATGATTCAGGTCCGCGCCATACAACATATCATTCTCCTTGATGTGAAACCCATCGATCTTGACCCACACAAAATATCGTTTCGGACCGTCTGTTATGAACACATAATTCTTACCTTAAATTTAAGAGTATGTATGTCCCATTCAGGTTTAACACGTTTAATGATTTCTCTCGCTTCATCCTCGATCTTTGTACTGTCAACTGAAAGTTCGTAGTGAGGAATAATGGAAGCCATGTTGGTTGGGCTGTCTGCTACGATCGTGTCGTTCTGCAATCGGAACGTTCCAGTGGCACAACGTGCAAGCTTCGCGGTACGACCGAACACAAGCTCCTCACAGCGATAAGCCCGTTCGCTGATCTCTCTATACCGAGACACTCTCCTACCCAGAGTTCCATGCGGCCGGCAGCCAGCTAGCATAGTACCTCTGCCACAGGCCAGCGCCATGTGACGATTCGTCACATCTTTAACAGTCCATTCAAGATATTGCATATGCTTTTCATCCGTTTCATGTTTGACAAGTCTACACATTTTCATAAACAAATGTCAAAGAATGGTTAACTTTCATTGAGAAAGTATGCAAATACGTAAAAATCTACTTGTTTTTGCGTAGTTATCCTATGTTTACATTGGTTGTACGGCTCCACGTGCTGTCATCGATGCCCAACGGAGAGCTAGCGACACGGTCACTTTGATGCATAAATATATATTGTAATGCAACTCACTGTCGCAGTTGTAGTAGTATATCTATATAGTTATGCAAAACAATATGTAAAGCGCCCCCAAATACTTGCATTAGTCCGATCTATACTGATTTCTGAAAAAGCGCGTTTGTTTACAAACAAGAGAAAAGTCCGGTCACGTGATATGCAAATTAGCCTGTGGCAGTGGTGTTATGCTGAGTCACCACTGCGACGGAGTGTGATACCGAGAGTGTAACGAAGGCGTCAGGCGCTGGGGAGGAGCTTGGACCGAACGATCGGCTAATGTCGGCTTGATAAAACTACCTATCAAAACTTTTTGCGTCATTTTTGAAACAACATTTTCTCGCATGCCTTTTTGTTCTATTTGGATAGTACTTCCCTACAGAAATTCCCACAAATGCAATATAACACATGTAACACATGTAGTTCATCTATGAACTCCAAATAGATAGAAAAATTATTTGAAATGAACCTGAAAACTTGATACGGTCCCTCGAAGCTGTCCCACCACAAATTAAATATGGAACATCATTAACCAAAGCAATGTGTACTGGTGACTGAATATGAATTCAACATGTGTCACCAATAAACTATTAATTACCACCATTTTTTCAGAGTTAAGAATATCATTTCCATTTTCAGTTATTGAAATCAATAATGATATGTTTAGTGGCTTAAGCGAAAGCTGCAGCCGACGATGCAAACATATTTCAAATATTGTTCTTGTTTTTTATGTCTAGGAATGACATAGATGGTTTGCCAGTTTTGGATAAGAAATATATCATTCAAGTATGCAATAACAGAAATATACGAACAGAAATGAAATTCGTTTTCTTATCAAACCGATAGGGACATTGTAAAATAGATGTATTTCATCCAATTTAACATGTTTCTTCGTAACGCAGAGGAAGTTCTGGCATAGTGTATAAATATATATTCCAGCGCAAAGTATGATTTAGTCCAGTTCCTTATGTACTTTTGTTGAAAAAAATTGGAGATTAGCAAAACTATACATATTCTGAAAGCTTTCAATGTACAGATGAAGAAAACCAATGTTTCCAAATTTTCCCATCATTCATTTGGCGGCCATCTTGGATTTCAAGATGGCGGCCATATTTGTCAAGTCTAAGGCTTCTGAGGTGTTTATTTTGTCATTTAATTGTTTATATGTGATATTATGCTTACTCATATGTAATTTAGACATGCTTAAGGTAATGATTTCACATTCTTAACAAAAAACTACCTCAACTTTTCTAATTTCTTAGTTGGATTTTGCAATATTATCAGTAGTGTGGATAGAATCCTATACGTTACAACTGTCTATCACACAGTAAAATTTTTAAAGAATATATTGTACCTTAATTATCATATGACCCCTTAAAAACTGTCATTTATCCAATAATTACCTATGGTTATATGTTTCTCCAGCAACTCAGCAACATAAGAGCCATCTGTATCAATGCCTTGGCATTTAAATTTTCAAAATGTCACATAGAATTGTCATAGTCACTTTACACCAAAATAGGTCCCTTGAAGTCTTGAATAATAAAGTCACAATTCTTGATATGTGTCTTGATATCATATTCACAGAGAGTCATCAAACATGTCATTGCTGTCATCACCATCATTAGTTGACATATTTGTGTCATCGTCGTTCTCACACACTGAGGTGCAGAGGCAGAGTTCTGTACATGACAAGTTGCTTGATCGACATGTACATCTTTGGGTCAAACAGTCTTTCCTACACTGACACCTCACCATCTCAATAATAGCTTTGGGGGCTGGGAGAACATCCATTGTTGTTGGTTGGATCCGGTTATCTTTGTCCTTATGGAATCCATGTTGAAGTGGATCTAATTGGATCTGATGGGCGATATTGGCTTGACCCAAATTATTTGGTCACAGAGTTCATCACTTGTAGTCAGCACAAGGAAAGCATTAACAATATCATCATCCGTTTTCAAGTATTTCTGAAACCATGTTGCTTTTCCTACTCGGGAAAATCTGCCTGTATTGTCAGCTCCTGTAAAGGCATGGAAGGCTGGCAAAGCTGATGATTTCTTCACACCTAGGGCTGTCCAAAGAGGCTTTATTGGAAGAACATTTGAGGCCATTGAGAGTGTGGTGTTTTCCAGGAGACTGCTGTAATTTGCAATGGTCAAAACAAGGACATCAGTGTCAGGAGAGAAGATTGTCAACTGCGAGTTCCTTGGATTGCGCTGTGAAGCTGAAATAGCAAGATATATCATGAGTGTGTCAGCTTCTTCATTGTTAGCTTGTTAGCTTCAAACTCCAAGTCTCTGTTGCTCCTGGTACAGCCGGATGCAGATGCAATAAAGGTTTGAGACGAATCAGCATTATACTCCAGTGTCTTCTCTGCCAGGTAGTCTGTCAGATCAGCTTTTGTTTGGTCATGAGACAGAAAACGATTTAACATGATGTGCTTGATTCTGGTGTCATCTCTAATTTGGTACTGAATAGGATCTCTTCCTTGGCGTCTCTTTTCTCTTGTTGCAGATTTGAGGGAATCTTGCTTGTATGTGTCAAAAGCAAGTATGACCTCATCAAACCCTCTTGCCAGGTTCATCACTCTGTCATTGAAGCACTGACTGAGATCTTCAACTGTTTCCATTGTATTTGGTAACTTTGTCATCTTCTGAAGTACAACCATCCCATCTATAACAGCAATTTTTCTTGGGATGTTGTTGAAGGTTTGATTTTGTTCTGTGTCACTGTCATCAACTGTGTTCTCTGGCTGACTTGCTTCATAGTTCATTGCTTCTTCATTTACAAACTTTGTAAGACTGGTGATCAACTTGGACTTGTCAGTGCATGGTAACAGCAATCCACTTGGTGAAAACAGTGACCTTGGAGTCAGCGTGAACTCAAAGTTACCAATTGCCTGTTTCAAGTCAATGTCTCTACTTGATCTGGCAAGAACCATCAGCCTTCCATACAAATCTTTTGTTTCTCTGAGATCCACATTCTTATCTCGGAGACGAACTGTTTGCTTTTGGCATCCTGACATGTACATCTTGTTGTTTTCCCTCTTCACTGGTGCCCAAAGACTCACTGGCCCGTTGATTCGTTGAGACACGTACTCTTCATAGAGCTTCTTTCCTGTTTCATCAATGTGTAGGATCTGAGACACAAACTCTTCAGGGACATAGGCATGCGTCATTAAGTTAAAGATCTTGTCACCTTCAAAAGCAAATGGATTACCATGATCCAGAACAGCAGATTTGATCTTGTCAACTGCAGTGTGATCCCGACAAATGACTCCTGGTGAAAGGTCATGATGTTCTTCCATATCTTTTGCCTCTCGATGAAACTGACTTTTGTACTCACTAGCAAGACGCAAGAGTTCTGGAGAGGCCAAAAAGAAACGCTGCCTGGCATTGGAATTGTTTGAGATACCAATCAAGCCTGAGTGAACTTTCATTAATCTGTTCAGATGTTCACATGCATGATCAGCTCCTATGGATGTAAATGGAATGTCATTCTTTGTAACTGATATGTTTCCAGCTTCAAACTCCTTCCAAGACTCGGGGAAGTCGATCTTCAGGGCATGCATGTCAGCAATATATCGGGGCCAAAGTCGTTTGTACTTGAGTTGGTCCATAGCAAAGAATAATCCGCTCAGTTCTTCTCCAGCCTCAAGATGAAGCTTCAGATCTGCATTGCGAGAAGCTGCTATGAAGAACAGAATTGTCTCAACTCGATGTAGATAATTCATCAGTGATTTGAACATAGCATTCTTTGATTTCTCAGTCTCCCATTTCAGAAATGATTCCATGACTTCTTCATTCTGAATTTGACCAATCAGATTAGAATGTTCATCTTTGACAATTTCAGCCTTTGATGATTTATCAGTCTTCCTGCATGCTCTTTCGATTTCAGCTGCTGTTTCCACACAAACTTCTTGAAGTTGAGGATATTCCTTGAAGAACTCTTGCAATGCTTATTCATAGAGTGCCATGTAGGTATACATATGAGCCCGCAGACAACGTTTGTAATGCGTACATGTAAGAACCTGTCTTGTTGTTGTGGGGCCAGAGACATCAGCTTCCATCCATGCATCATCAATGCAAGAGTTTTCTATGGACGTGCCTAAAGCTCTCAGCGCAGCCATGACAACATGCAGTTCTCCCAGTCGTGGCACAATGTTTTCTTTCAGTTCAGGCTTAGCATCTAGGAGTTTGATTACCTTCTCATAAAGGGCCATGTCAAATGTGATGACTGTAGGATGTTCATTTCCAACTGCTAGTTCTTTCAACTTCTTAGCTTGCAATATGACAGTGAGCAGTGTAGACCATTCATGTGCTACTTCTGGAAGGAGTGGTAGGGCACCAACTCTAGTTGTTGATTGTCTCTCTGACAACAAAGACATGTAGCCAGCCCATCCAGGAATCATGCTAGCTTCTTTCTCATCATCTGTTCTGGCTATCATGGAAGCAACAACCCAGCCAAAGTGTGTTAAGTGATAGGACTTTCCAATACCTGCTTTGTTGGTTATAAATTTTTTGTCTTTTGAATGTGGATGGTTTCTTGGATTTGGTTTTTCACAGTGAAGCATCTTGGTATGGTAGAGAGCCACAGAGAGACT